TGTGACGTTGCTTTTGTGATGTCACTAGGGCGACTGAACTCCGAAGGGAGTTCTGGCTGTCACATTTAAAGGGACCGTATTCCTTTCAAATGCTTTTCCTCCATTGGAAATAATGGAGGATGTGGGCACCTTCTTTTGGGGCTCATAGAATTGGACCCCTTGGTCCAATCTTTTTGAAACTCGGGGTTTGTTTCCAGGAGAGGCACCATCAGCTATGCTGAACATTTGGTGCCTCTACCTCAAAAAAACAGCCCCCCCTCCGAGCCCCAGTTACCCATGGATCGATTCTCCATTATACCCTATGGGGACCGGTCTCCGTAGGATATAATGGAGCACCCAGCAGCCATCCCCCCCCCTGCTTTCTAACAGATATGAAGCAGGGTGAGGGCCTCCAAACCCGGGGATCCCCTGCCCCCAACTGGGGATTGGCAACCCTAATAATGAAATATACACACCCTTAGCTTATTTCCAGTGTTCCCTCTAAGCGGAGTTAGTGTGAGCTAGCTCACAGGTTTTTAGCCTCCAGCCCACACGTTTTTGTCTTCGTTCCCCAAGGATGGCTCCAGAGCAAGCCAATTGACGCAGTGGCCAAATTGCTCGCCCACAACTTTAATGCCAGTAGCTTACAAAGTAGAATTTTTGCTCGCAAGACTCCACAGCTTAGGGGGGGAGCCTTGCTTATTTGTGACCAGTTCACGGCCGCCTCGGTTCCTCTTGGTGCCTCTGCCTTTCCCCTTGGGCCTTTTGCTCCCTCCCTCCCCTCCCCGTTCTGTTTGGGATCTTTGGCTGCGGCTGGTTTCTCTTTCACGGCAGGGCACAGCTGTTCCCTGGGTCAGCAGCACCTGTTACTGTTTAATCAGCCTCCCCGTTTCTTAATGGCCTTGTAACTCTTCCCTCTCCGCCATCCTGGGGACTGCCCGGCGAGGAATCCCCAGGGCTCTATCCTGCAGAGGAAAATAGGATTAGTGTGGCTTGGTTTCCAACTCTGTAGCCTATATCATCATTTTCGGCTTATCGGGGTCGACTCTTCCCTTGCGTTTGGCCAGGGACTCTTTGAAATCGGTGAAAGCTGGAATAGGCCCAAGCGTTTTGTGCCCCTCAGGTCTAGGAAATCTCTTCTGCTATGCGTGTCATCTCTGCTATCCTGTTACTATATCTGTACGGTATGGCGGAAGGGCAACAAACACCGTTTAATTACCTCTTAAAACCTGTAAGGGAGGGTGGCGGCCCCTACCTGGTGGAACGAACTCCCGGAGGAGATCAGGGCCCTGCGGGACCTCTCGCAGTTCCGCAGGGCCTGCAAGACGGAGCTCTTCCGCCAGGCATATAACTAGGGGCTGCCGCCTTAGTGCACGGCCCGTACTGTTGACATCAGCAGCTGCCTCAAGAATGAGCAAATAATATCCAAACACTTATGCGGAATAACATCGAAGCACTTTCATTTGAAAACATCTCATTTGTTTATTTTTAACTGCCACCAGTACTTTGTAACATTTGTAATGTATTATTTTAATGGTTGTGTTTTAATTCTGTACTATTTATGCTTTTATTCTGTATTGTTGCATTGTTGTTGGAAGCCGCCCTGAGCCTGCTTTGTGGGGGGGCGGGGTATAAATTTGACTATAAATAAATAAACTAACCTGCAGTCCGTGGAGGTAACTAAAGGGTTGGCTTTTCTATTCTTTCGATGCACGTCCGTTAATGTTGGTGACTACTTGGGGGCTTTTGGAAGGAAGTTTCTCGGAGCTTCCCGACTTTAGTGAACCAAAGTTTAAACTTATTGTTCGAAGGGAGAAAGCCTGTCTCTCTTGAGTTTCTTCTTTTGATTCTCGTACTGCGGTAACACAGTGGCGCCAGGACGGCCTCCAAAGAACAAGTGTGCCATTCATTGGCACCTGCATCCAATTTAAATTTGTCTGATTGGCAGGTGAAACTACGGGCTGAATTTGATTTAAAGCTTGCGTGCCTGATATTAGAACCCTTACCTGATCCATACAACCTTGGGATGCCAGCCTCCAGGTGGGACCTGGGGATCCCCGGAATTACAGATCAGCTACAGAATACAGAGATTGGTTCCCTTGGAGGACATAGATGCTTTGGAGGTCGGACTCTATGGCATTGCACCCCACTGAGGTCCCTGTCCTCCCCAGGCTCCACCCACAAATCTCTAGGAGTTTCCCAACTTGGAGCTGGTAACCCTACCCCCCTTCGCCCCCCCCCCCGTTACAACTGTGTTACTGATCGTGTGTACGGGAGGGGTGGCTGGGTGGATATTCTGAATTAATTAAGAATCCACTTGAAGCTTCCGGCACTTTTTCCGTCTCCCAGTGACAAAACGCAGCTTTTCCGTTGTTGGTCTGGGGTGCGGGCATGTGACAATTTGTGCTCCGTCGGTCGAGGAAGCGTCTTGTAGGTCGTGCCTCAGGTGGACCGTCGGCTGGAGGGATGTCTGTCTTCCAACTACTGCGTCTTTCAGTCTTTCAGTGGTAGAGCCTCTGCTTGACACACAGAGGGTCCCCGGGTTCGGTTCCCGGCATCTCCCGTTTTAGAAAAGGATCAGGTAGGTGATGTGAAAGCTCTCTGCCCTGGGGTCGTTTCGTAGAAAAAGAGCTAGGGGAACTCATTAGCATAACTCATTAGCATATGCCACACCCCATGACATCACCGGAAGTGTGTCATAAGGCCACACCCCCTGACGTGTGTCATAAGGCCACACACCCCGCCCCCAACGGTCCCGGCCGCCGCCGGCCTTGCAGCTCCACTGCCGAGCCCCATGAGGGGCCCGGCGGTGGACCTGCAAGGCCGGCGGGAGTGCAAGGAAGCCCCGCGAAGGCCCTCCCTGGCCCCAGGCAGGCAGGGGTGGGGAGAGGCAGGGAGGAAGCAACTTACCCTCCCTCTTCTCCTGCCTCCTCCTGGCTGAATGAGGGCCGGAAGCGGGGCGGCCGGAAGCAGGGGGCGGGGCTTCATCATGTGCCCCGCCCCCCGTACTTCATCCGGGGGAACTGCGATCCCCCCTGAAACGACCTCTGCCTCTGCCTCAGATAGGTCTATCAGTGTCTACCAATGTCCCCTCTACGCTGTGGAGTCTTGTGAACAAAAATTCTACTTTGTGAGCTACTGACATTAAAGTTGTGAGCGAGCGATTTGGCTGCTGCATAAATCATTTTGCTCTGGAGCCCTCCTTCCTGAGCTGAAACAGAAATGTGTGAGCTGGAGGCTAAAAAAACTCTGAGCTAGCTCACACTAACTCAGCTTAGAGGGAACACTGGTGGCGACTAGCCTTGGTGACTAAAGGGAACCTCCACATGCGGAGGCAGCCAGCCTCTGAATCCCAGTGCCAGGAGGCGACATCAGGGGAAGGTCTCAGCCTCTGTGCCCTGTTGTTGGACTTCCAGAGGAACTGGGTGGCCACAGTGTGAGACCGGATGCTGGACCACTGGTCCGATCCAGCAGGGCTCTTCTGATGTTCTTGTGAGATCCTAGAGAGCTGCTGCCAGTCTGAGTGGGCAATGCCAGCCCCGATGGACCGAAGGTCTGACTTGGTATAAAGTGGCTTAATGCATTTGTGTGTTTCCCAAAGATTGGGGGTTTCCTTATTAACGGTGCAATGGGCTCCCTGTACCTAGGCCCACTTTTCCGGCAAAAAAAAATTAAGTTGGGAATTAAGTTTACACACTAAATGGTGCATGCGGGGCCAAGAGGCCCAGAAACCAAACCAGGTTGGTAGGACTAAACTTCCTGGTGGTTAGAATGGATCCTCAGAGGGACAGGCTTCCCCGGGAGGTGGTGGGCTCTCCTTCTTTGGAGGTTATCAAACAGCGGTTAGATGGCCATCTGACAGCAGTGCTGATTCTGTGAACTTGGGTAGATCACAATAAGGGAGGGCGCATCAGTGCTTAGTTCTCGTGGCCAGGGGTCATTTCCTGCGGGAGCGCACAGGAGTGGAGCTCCGGCAGTAAGGAGCCCAGGGGGCGGGCACATGCAATAAGCCCCACCCCCTGCTCCCAGCAGCCCTCAGTTGGGCCACGAGGAGCAAGAAACAGCCAGGTAAGTTGTAACCCCCCCCCGGCCCGCCTTCAGGTACAAGCTCTCCCTCCTCTGTGAGGACAGATCTGCACATCCCCCCCCCATAGCTAGCAATCCAAAACAGCCCAGTGGCACCTTTAAGACCAAGTTTTATTCAGGTACAAGCTCTCCCTCCTCTGTGAGGACAGATCTGCACATCCCCCCCCCCCCATAGCTAGCAATCCAAAACAGTCCAGTGGCACCTTTAAGACCAAGTTTTATTCAGGTACAAGCTCTCCCTCCTTTGTGAGGACAGATCTGCATGTTCCCCCACCCCCAATAGCTACCAATCCAAAACAGTCCAGTGGAGCCTGAGCGGTGGGTGTTGCCTTCTGACACACTTCTGGTGAGGTCAGGGGGTGTGGCATATGCAAATAAGGCATGCTAATGAGTTATGCTAATGAGCTCCTGCACCTCTTTTTCTACGAAATGACCCCTGCTCGTGGCCCTTTCTTACACGCCCGGGGAACTGCTGATCACCACGTTGGGGTCAGGAAGCAAATATTCTCCGGGCCAGTTTTGGCCAGGGATCCTGGAGGTTTCTTTGCCATCTTCTGGGCATGGAACAGGGGTCACTGGGGGTGTGAGGAGGGGAGATGTTTGTGCATTCCCTGCCTTGTGCAGGGGGTTGGACTCGATGACCCTGGAGATCCCTTCCAACTCTATGATTCTGTGGTTCCATTGGTCTGAAGCAACAGAACAAAGTTTGTGTCCAGTGACACCTTTAAGACCAGCAAAGTTGAATTCTGGGTGCAAGCTTACATGTGCATGCCCACTTCTTCAGATACATGCACACAGGAAAGCTTCTACCCAGAACTGAACTTTGTTTTTATTTATTTATTTCAGCTTATATACCGCTCCTTCCCAAAGGCTCGGAGCGGTTTACAGAGAAGTATTTAACGTATCCAACTAGGGCCACACAGTACAGGGGAGAAATGAATGCCTACCAGGCACCCGAGCAGGGTGTGTTCATGGGGGGTCTTCATGGTGGGTTCTTCCTCAAGTCGATGGTGTCTCGGCGGGATCTTCCGGTAGCGACTCCTTCTGGGCGGACCTTCGTGGTGCGCGGCTCTGCAACGGTCCCAGCACTAGTCTCTGTCCTTATTGGCTCCGACCGTGCTGCGTTGCTGCGTCGTCACGCCTTCTCTCCGCCCGGGTCGTTCGTCGCCCGACTTTGCCGTATCGCCGTCCGTCCATCGCCGTCGCCACCGCACAGCCACCACCGCTGCTACACGCCATCCATGGAAGGAGGGTGCCCCCCACTCTTCTAAGAGCAGGTACCCATTTGTCAACTTGCCCTAGGGCTTTCGAGCCGCTGGGTGGGTTGTGCAGCCAACTATCCAGGATTCCTTGGAAGAAGCCACATTTAAGACCAGTTTACGATGATAATACAGATCTTTTCTTTGGGTTGCCAAGTCGTTTCTCGGCCGCAGCTTTAAGGCTTTGTGGGTCTTAAAGGGGCCAGTGGACACGAACTTTGTTCTGTTTTACGGCGTTATTTAAGGCTTAGAGGCCCTTTCCGGCAGGGCGGAGACCAGCCACAGACTCTCCAATCAGCTTTGAGGCCAAAATGCAGGTAATGTGTGCGGCCTCTGCAGGTGTTTTTTTAAAAACTTGGTGTTAGGAGTGAATGGATTGGATTAGGGCTGCTTTGCTGGAGAGGGGAGGGGGGGTATCTTTCTCCTCCCCCTTGTTTCTCCGACTGAAATTCTCCCTCCTAAGCTGCTGTTAGCTGTGGGGGTATGGAGAAAGGCAGGCGCCCGTATTGCACCATGGTCTCTTGCCCCTAGAGGCGTGAGGTAGGGCCGCACTTGTCCAGGGCTCTTTTTGTAGAAAAAGCCCAGCAGGAACTCATTAGCATAATAGGCCAACTGATCTCTGGACAATCCGTTCCCCTGGAGAAAATGGCTGCTTTGGAGGGCGGACTCTATGGCATGGTACCTTGTTGAGGTCCCTCTCCAAACCCCGCCCTCTCCAGGCTGCACCCCCACAATCTCCAGGTCTTTCCCAACCCAGAGTTGGCATCCCAGGCCAAACAGAAGCTGGGAGTTACTTTCTCAAAGCTTGGAGCCGGCAGTTGCCGGGGGTCACAGAATGCCAGGATGTTTGGGTCTCTGTTCTATGTCTTACCGCCCATTGCTGGTGACTCAGAGTAGCTTTCTCCTTACAGCTTGGTGGAATGATGCCAGTAACTGAACTGGTTAGTTTACTTAGGCGCCACCGTGGTGTTGTGGTTGGAGTGTCGGACTAGGATCTGAGAGGCCCAGATTCGAATCCCCACTCTGCTACGGAAGCTCGCCGGGCGCGCTTTGGGCCAGTCACACGCTCTGAGCCGAACCTACCTCACAGAGTTGTGAGGCTGAAAGGGAGGCAAGGAGAAAGATGTAAACTACTTTGGGTCCCCGTTTTTTTGGGGGGGAAACTGGGGTATAAGTGACGTGAGATAAAGAAAATAATTACCCGTCGAGCTCATTGGCAAGGCGAGGGGAAAGCCGTGAACATCTAGGTTCTCGTTTGCACTGAGGGAAGAGAAACTCCTTATCCTCTGCCTTACCGCCCTAATATAATAACGCCAAGCCCGGATTTGGGAGGGGGGCAGGCCTTTGTAATCCACCCTTTTCCAGCCACTGTAGTTCACGTCTGGTGCAGGCGCATGTGTGGGGGGGTGTCATCCCCAGCGCCAGCTGTCACCGACCTGGTCCCCCTGGCAGGGACAGTTGCTAACGAGGCTAATCTGTCACTCCGGCGTCTCTTCCCCGGCAGGGGAGGCCTGAGGGAGGACCGGTCCGCCTGAACCCATGCGGGGTGCCCATGCGCAGAGACGGGGGGTGTCATTGGGCTCAGATGTGCGGGCAGAGCGGCTATTATCTTCATGTGCGGAAGACGGTCTGTAGCCTGATAGGGGACAGGCGATTCTCTGAATAAGCAATTTTAAGACGGAGCTGAATTAACCGAGACAGGCCTCGCGGAGTCCCCCGGGGAAGGGAAGCAGCGGCTGGGCCGGAGACGCCCTCCCCCCTCAGAATTTATCTTTTGGCCAAACCTTGTATAAAACGTAAGAGATGGTTGAGATGTCCCACACGATCCATTATTTTAATTTTGAACGTGAGGAAAGATGAGCAATTATTTTAATTTTGAATGCGAGGAAAGATAAGCAATCCTCTCCCCATTGCCTGTGTTTATTTAGGTATAGAACACATTATATATAAACTGTTTTTCGATGGCTTTCTCCCTTGCGGAACTCAAGGTGCCTTAGAATATAAATAAAACGATTATTTTTTAAAAATGAAAACAGTATAAAGGATACAGCGGTTTAAAAAAAAAAACGCACATAAAAAGTCACAATTTAAACACACCGATTAGGACTGGCAATAAATCGAAAACAGATCAGTCAAATGCAGTCCTAAATAAATATATTTGGAGCAGGGCCAACTTATCCAGTAGCCACGATACTTTTAGGGCCCCACAAAAATATTTTTATTTCTTTTAAAATCGGCAGAGCAAAATGAACTTTTAGGGTCGAAGAAAATGTTTTAATTTTTTCCCCCTCACATCAGAATAAAACGAATGCTTAGGGCCCATGAAAATCTATTAAATTTTGCCTGAAACAGAAAAAAAAAGATGAAGTATTTAAAGTTACATCACAAATAGTTTTTAGTATTGATATTATTATGGCGGGAGGGACCCACAAAGGCAGAAGTACCTAGGGACCAGAGAAAAGTCGTAATGTGGCCCTGATTGGGAGGAGCCATCTTAAAAAATACACTAATTAAATAGAAATGTATACAGGTGAATGCGATTGTAGGTGGACAGTCTGATATCAGGGTGCCAGGTCCGATTGCTGCGTTGGTGGGGGAGGGGCTTTCTGAGAGTGGGGAGGAGCGTCGCAACATGCATACGTAAACAGGAAATGACGGGGCGACACTCTGTTTTTTGGGCAAAACTCTATGGTCGAATTTGCTTCGAATCACTTCCAGTTTTCATAGGCATGTCACATGATTTCCAGGTTCCTGCCGGTAAGAGGGGGTGATGGGGGGGGAAGCACCCGAAAGAGGGAGACCCGCCGCCCACACCGGGCAGTCTGGCCACCCTAGTCTGATACATTTTAATGCAATCTGATTTAAGATGTACATTTGGTTTGTTTGTTTTTAAAGAATCCAAGAGGTGCTCCTTTCTTTTATTTGTTTAATATCGTTTTACCCTTAAGCAGGGCTCTTTTTGTAGAAAAAGCCCAGCAGGAACTCATTAGCATAATAGGCCACACCCAACAGCAGGAACTCATTAGCCTATTAGGCCACACCCCTGACAGCGCAACTCATTGGCATATTAGACCACACCCCCATGTTACCAGAAGTGTGGTCATCCAGCCACACCCACCTTTTGCTTCTTATTCTGTTTACATTGTTTGTTGTCAAAACCCAGGGCTTTATTTGTAGCAGGAACTCCTTTGCATGTTAGGCCACACACCCCTAATGTAGCCAATCCTAATGAGTTTCTGTTTTTGGGTGTGGCCTATTATGCTAATGAGTTCCTGCTGGGCGTGGCCAACTTGGGAGCCAGCCGGAACTCCGTTCCTGTGCGTTCCTGTCCAAAAATAGCCCTGCCCTTAAGGGAGGCAGCAAAGAAGGGGAGGGAGAAAAGATCTGTATTATCATCGTAAACTGGTATTAAATGTGGCTTCTTCCAAGGAATCCGGGATAGTTGGCTGGGGATTCTCTGCAGGAGACCTCCGGTTCCGCTCCTTAAACTACGTTTCTTTGCATCTTCTTTGGAGAAGGAATAGCCGTTCAAACTAATTTCAGTCTTTTATCCAAGGTCCTTTGTCCAGGGTTCAGATTGAGGTACTCTACCCCTGCAGAAATTGCTTATTTTCCCCTCACCCAGGCAGGTCCGTATGTATACTGCAAGCTCATTGGCCTTTGTACAAGAGACCTGTCGAATCAGACCAGTGATCCATCTAGTCCAGCATGCTGGATGCTCCATAATCTTCCCAGGAAGTACAGAGTTTTGCCTCCCCGTGGCCTGTTTTTGGAAGGCGTGTAAAACATTTTTTTGGTTCCTGGAGCTTTCCCGCCACGATAACAGTTTATTCTCCTGGGCCTGAGGGCTTTGTGATGGTTGGCATGAATTTTATGTCATTTCATCCGGACACACCTATATCCAGTGGTTCTTATAAGCCCTTTGGAACTTCTTCCAGAAGGCTCTGGGCATCTCCAGACCTGCAGGCCGGTTAGAGGAGAGAGCGCTCCAAGGCCCGTGCAGAGTTCAAGTTCCCTGCCACAGGGTAATCACGGGCAGGCCCCCCTCCACCATTCAGAATTTCACAGGGTAGCGCTCCCAGAAAGAACTTACGCCCTGAGTTGCTTCTCAGCTTACAAAGCACAAAATGCATTTCAAGGACTCCTCTTGCTCAGTTGCCCACACACATGGCTAGGGAGAGAGGATTAGCCGTGTGCTGTTGGCAACCACATCGGGTATGTTTTTATACATTGTTTGCATACAAGTGCATGCAGTGGAGGGGGGGGGGGAACGCATTTTGCGACCGGCACCAGACACGGCATCGGTTTC